AGTTTTAGGAAAAAAAAAATAAAAATACAAGAGCTCTGGCTGGTTGTTTCCCTAAAAATCTTTGGTCTGGGCCAAAAGACAAGCTGTACCATCACAAAAGGGACCAGTGGGGAAAGGTGAGGTACACCCCCCTGTAAGCCACCTCTCTGCCGATGGAAGGCTGCCTTAACTCTTCCTAGCCCATGCAAAACCACCTGTTTATTTCGTACTAAGTGGCAAAAGAAATACAAAAAGGAAGAAATCTGTTTTGAAGCATTCGATAAACACTACACAGAAATGACATTTAGATTAAATGAAATACATATATATATATATAGTAGGCTAAAAAGAGAGAACAACCACAACAACAGTCTGTATACATGAAATGTAGACTGCCCACTTCATTTTCTTTCCCCATGGATGTTGGGGCTTTCCTAAAGACATAATAAACTCAACCACAAATAACAAGGGAAAGGAGGCTCACTTGAGACGAGAATAAAAGTGCATGCCAGAGAGGTAAAAGTCTGCATGGGAACACACAGCACAAAGCAGGTAACTTGCCACAAAATCCTGTCATGTTTAATTTATATGTGAGTCTACCTGCAATACAGTACCAGTGGATTGGGGAATGGGCTTTCAACTACACTTGCATCAAGCAGGCTAGTTATTTGTCAGGAAACGTCAAAAAAATATCAAATACACTCAACTTACAGAATCAAATTTCCATCCCATAAAAAAACAAAATTACAGTGTATAGCAATAAATTGTTTCTTAAGCACTGGAAGCAATGCAGTTTGATTTTTCACTCATTAGTGTCCCATGATTTACAAGGAGTTTTTCCTCACAGACTCTTTCCCATATGAGGGTTCTCTCCCATCTCTAATATGGGAGTTCACACTGTAGCCTGTCCATCCATCAGGGAAGTTATAGGCCTTCTTCCTAACAACTCCTTCAGAACTCACCAGAGTTTAATTATCTTCATGACTTCCATTTATCCATTAAAGTAGAACTCAACTGACCAGTTCAGAAATATTGATACAAAAACAGAGACCAACAGGCAGAGAGAGAAATGCATTTGTATACATACAACAACCTCCTTAGTAAATCAGGATAAAAATCAGAGCAACCAGTGGAAAAGAATCCCGGAATGTGTAAAAAGTAGACATGATATGGCACTGGAGATGGAATGATGGCCTGAGGCCAAGTAAATGCCATACAGAGTTGGTGCCTGTGTGAGATTACTGTACATTCAAGGTTTCCTATTTATTTCTCTTTTCATTTCCCCACTGTCCAACAGAAAGGGACTTTGGAGAGTGCACTGTCTGCCACTGCTAAGCTGTACTGCAGTGGTCCCAACATCTGGAGAAGCAGACATTGGGAAGGTCTGGCTACCTGCAAAAGCATACCCACAATAATTTTACAGAGCAAGAATGGAGGAAAGTGAGGGAGACAGGGATCAGGCAGAGCAGCAGCGGAGAAGCCACAACCATCACAGGAGCTCTGAGCACTGGGGCTCCATCCTGCCCCTGACGGGCTCAAAACCCCTTCCTATTTTCCAAATGCTCCAACTAGTATGCCATTTTGAGAATATTTACTCATCTGTGCTAAAAAAAACTAACACTAGCATTTTAGGTTTTAAAAAAGGTAATTTCGGGTCACATTTAAAATTGAGAAGCCGTAATAAAAGCATTTTCAGCATGCAGGATTTGAAGTGCCAAGAATCAAATTAGCTTTTTATATACATCTGTCATGTCACTGTGATATGCACCATCATGTCCTGGGGATGCATCAACACTCTCACACAACTGCTGCAGAACATTATGAGAAACCACCGCAACGTTCCTGCGTATGTACTTCGTCCCACCGGGAAAAATTAAAATGTAGTTGCTCTGGTTCTAACTCACATCAGATTTCACTCCTTCTGTAAATGAGTAAACAAAACTGGATCAATCTTCACTGTTACATCAGTCAGCAGCTTAGATATTTCACAAGGGCCCCATACTTATAAATGAAAGCAAGAAAAAGCACACAGACTATTTGTCAACTCTGCTACCAAGAGAGCTAATTCAAGTTTCTTTGCTTTGGGAAGGTATTTCTCTCTCTCTTAACATAAATAAACAAGACAGAAGAAAACTCCAACGTGACCAAGTTTTGGTTCGGGCTCTTAGGACACGAGGCTACATCCATGGACACTCAGTTTCAGCTCTGCACTTCCATAGTGTCTACAGGAAACATTGTTTGTAATGATTCCCCTTCAAACTTAAACGATGAAAGCGCACATTTTGCAAATGACACCTCAGCCAATCTGCCCCATCTGCATGAGAGATGGCAAATGATTTCACTCTTTAGGCATTCAAAATAAAATGCACATGCGGCAAATTCCAAGCTGGCAGGAAAAAAATCCAGTCATTAAAAAAGTGATTTGTTTTCTACATTTGCAAACACAAAGGCTCCATTTATTTCCGTTGCCATAAGGAAAATGGACTGCTCTATTTTTTTAAACAGTTGTAGCCAGCACATTTTGGAAATGTTTTAATTTCAAAAATACTAACTAGCAAATTAGAGTTTAAATGGCTTTTCTAAAGTAGCACCATTTTAGATACGGTTTTCTGATTGAGGGCATCACTTTGCCCTGCAGGAAAAGATTTCACTGTCTTCTGTATATATGGTAGTGATGCCTGTTTGTTTCTGCAGTCGCTAAATTAAAAAAAAGAAACCTAAAATAGGTCAATTGTAAATAAAAATGTATCTGTTAATAAGAAGGTATATTTCATATTTTAGGAGGCTAATTTTCATTTAAAATTAGAAGTTTATGGCCTCTGTCCCTCTGCCTGTTCCTCCATCTCTTTACAACGTGGAAATTAAACCAGCAAACACAATTGATATGGCCTCATCCTAAGGAAGCTTATGGCCATGCTTCACTTTACACATTGAGTTGCTTAATTGAACTCACTGGGGCTATTCCCAGTGCAAAAATGTAAGTATGTGTGTAATTCTTTCTGGGATCAGGATATGTAAAGGTGATCTGTAATGAAAATAAAACCACTCCTTTTTTATTTTTATTTTTTTTAGATTTTTTTAATCTGCTCTGATTTTTGTGGTTATAGCAGCCTCTGGTGGACAAGTAGCAAAGTATAAATCTCATGCACTTCCATCATATAAACACATATTTTAAAATACAAACCACTTTGACTTGCTTTTGTTTTTTTAAAAGTTAACAAGAAAAATGACAATTGCCTTAGGTAACTACTGAAAATGTTGAACTTCGAAAACTTTATACTCTTAACCACGAGTGGGCAAGATATCTTTGCTTCCTAAAATACTAAAATGTTACCTTTTTCCCCTCCCATCATCCCTCCCAGGAAAGTATTTAAGATTTCTGAAGTGTTGGTAATGGCAAATCAATGTATACAGACCTGCTTTGACAAGAGTATATAAATATTCCCCTTATGCTAAGGTTGCACAGTTAAGCAATCAAAAAGTAATAAATCATAAATAAAGTTGTCAGGTTAAATAACCAGAGCTAAGGAAACAATAGGGACCCCCCCCCCCCCCCCTCGATGATTTTCTCTCCACAGAATCAAGGCTTAAATAAATAAATGAATAAAACCCCAGAACAACCAAAACACTTAAGAACAACTTAGCATGCAGTGTCAAAGCAGGGCGATGGGTGTGCTGACAGGCATTCTTTTTGCTTCACTCTTCTTCTGTGCTTGTTTCTAATTCCTACACAAATTGCTCTCTTATTTTTCTTATTCACTTTACTAAAATTTACACATACCTCTTTAGAATCAGTAAAAAAAAAAAAAAAAAAAAAAAAAAAAGTAGCTAATGATAAAATGAGTCAAATAAAATTACATTTTTTAAAATTGCTTTGTGCTGATGCTAGCTTGATTTAGTTTCCAAGCGCCTGTAGACAAGAGTATGTAGTACAAAAAATGGATATACTGAAAATACTTTTTGACTGAGAACAAGCCATTTTATCTACCACCAAAACCAAGGAAGGAAACTAAGTAACAACCACTCTATTATTGATTGTAAAACTCTAGGATGACAGTGCCAAAAGGTTTCTAGAAGTCAGGCAATAATCTCTAGAAAGGTGAAAACTGGAAACAGAATGTATGTGAGGATGAGGTTGAAAGCAATGGATGGGTTGCTAGCAGTTTAACGAGGTATCTTAGTTTTGTAATTGGAAATACAGATGTTCTCTGGCCCTTCACACATGGTAAGACATGTGGGACCTTCACAGCCTCACTGGATACAAGCCTTTGCAAACACAATTCCCCATTTGAGCTCCATTAAGAAATCAGAAGCAGTCAGCAAGGAGCCCATCATTGCCTGAAGCTTTCTGTAGTCTCTGCTTTTTCAGTTTTTACTTGAAGCCCTAATTACAGAGATCCACGTTCCAGGGACTGGGAAATCAATAAATCCATAAAGTCACCTACTGTCTACTACAGTAGTGCCCTGCTTCAAGTTACCCACTTCCCAAATGCTGACCAAAGAGAGGAGTGTCTTTCAGTAACAGACCACAGCGGGTGAAGACACAGGCAGGAAGGCAGTACGCCAGGGACACAATAAAAAAGCATTTTGAATCTACGTGCACCAGCAGCCTGATTCAAGTACTGCTTTTACTGACAAGCCCATGCCTCTTCCCAGCCTCCTTCTCCCCAAAGCTCCAAAATGGGAGACCTGCCAAAAACTCCTGTGTCCATTACAGACACACTGTTGTCTTCATTTCACATGGCAGATGTAACCACTCCAACACAGCTTGCAGACAAAAATGTGGGGTTACTCGCATTAGGCATATAGATAAAAATTAAAAGCATTTCTGTGAGAAATCGCAGGGTCCTGGATGCAATCAGAGTATCTGCAGAAGACATCTGCAGTCATCAGCAAACTCCCGGGTCATTCACTGAGAGAAGTTGCACATGTAGTTTTATCTCCCAGACATGATTTCAGCGATTGTAAAGACCTTAACATAACTGCACGAACCTCATTTATTACTTGCAGGAGGAACTTACTTGTGGGAGCTTTGTAAGCATCGGCAGGTGATGAAATGAGAAGTCAGAGGGAAGTAACACAATGTGAGCACCTGGGTATGCGTCCGTGAGATTTGACAGAGGTGGTGTCCTTCACTTGACCAGTTTAATCAGAAGCAAACAACATTTGGGGCACAAAACCCCTTTGTTTGGTGTGAAGTGGAAACAACAGGCTGGGTGATAAAACGTAAATTAAAAACGACTGCTGCAATTTGGAGCCTGATTACACGTGTGCTACTGAGGTCGTTCCCAAAAGGAGAACGAATGGTATCTGTTAAGAAGGTGGGGCTAAAGGTGTCTGTTTTGGTGTAAGAGAAAAGCGGGCTGATTCTTTCACTTTCCCCCTCAGACTCGGCTTCCAACCGCCGAGCGGCGCCATGGCGGCGGCAGAGCGCTGAGCCCCGGGCGCATGCGTGGCCCGGCCCTCTCTGCCCTGCCCTGGGTCCGACATGGCGGAGTACTCCTGCGTGAAGTCCACCAAGCTGGTCCTCAAAGGGGCGAAGGAGAAGAGGTGAGGGGACGGCTCGTCCTGTCCCTCGGCTGCCGGCTCGGTACCTCGCCACCGGCTTCGGCACGGAGGGGGGGAGGTCGCTGTAAAGGGGCTGCGGGTGGGTGAGGGTTTTGGGGTGCGCTGCCTCTCGCCCCCCGGTGCCTCGCTCCTGGGGGGCTGTGGCGGAGCGGGGGTCTGGGTGGGAGGCGTGTGCCCACCTCTGTGCCTCTCCTTTCGCAGCAAGAAGAAGCACAAGGAGAAGAAAAGGAAAAGGGAGGAGGATGCGGAAGAGCAGCTTGATATCGTCGGTGAGCGGCCCTGCAGGAGCTGTGTGGCAGTGGGGAAGCTGCAGGGGATAGCACAAGTTTATGAGGTGCTTGTAGGGCGCTTAAAGTAGGTTTCTAGCTACTTGTCACAGCACACTGTTTATAAGTCACACCTTCTTAGGTACCAGAGGGAATTTCTGACACCAGTAGGATCGATTTTACAAGTATTTATCTTTTTAATGCACTTATTTGTTTACATAACCTCAAGCTCCTTATGTGCTTGTAACTCGTGTTTGTTTTTTTTTTTCCCCAAGAGCATTTGTTTCAGGTAGAGAGACTTACATTTAGTGCTGTAACACTTCTGTTTTTGTTTGTATGTAAATGTCTTGTGTATGTAAATGTCTTGTGTTACTGTTACTTGAAAGTTCACTAGATGGGGTGCTTGTACTTCCTGCTCTTACTCTGCCAGCAGTTGCTTCTCGCCTGGGGTCTTTAGTTCACTCAAACCTTCAGTCCGCTAAAAAGGAGAAGTCTTGGTTGGTTTGTTTACTTGTTCTCAGTTTGTCATGATTACTGTGATGTATTCGCATTACAAACTTGCTATCAGTAGTTGAAACTGAAGATGACAAACATGAACCAGTATCCAAATATAATGGTGTTTTTTCTTGATTTGTGGAAGAGGAGGATCAAAGTATGTATGGTCCTGAGTGATAACTTAGCTAAGTGCTGCCTTCTGGAACTGCTGTATGCTTGATTTATCACAGTTCACAAAAACAGCTAAAGAAATAACCATGAAGCCCTGAGAGATACAGATATATACTGTAACAGTGCATGTTACAGGATAAATGTCACTTTCTGTTATGTGTGCACTAGGCATAATCCAAAGCAGTGCGAGGGGAGTTATCCCTATTTTTCTGTTAAAACAAAATACCATATATGAGAAAATAGGCTATTATATTTTATGCTAAAGGAATGTCACAAAAAGACATGCTGAAAGAGATTTTGGAAATTTCATATGCTGATCTCTAAGCCATGACAGTTATAGGACAAGCCTATTTGCTCTGTATGTTGTATGAAGTTAGGGGAACATTATTTCTGCTCAGGACCAACTTGCTGAAAAAAGATGTCATTCTGATTAATTTAAAATAGATACATTTTCTGCCTAAGATAATTAAGATTATACCAGGAGAAAGTTTTGCTCTTTAAAAATACAAATATCATAATTCCAATTTATACATGTGAGCCTTTAAGTTTGGATTCTGGGGGGCCAGAAGCATTTGAACACTGATTGTCCAGAACACTTTAAGTCTAAGGAATGCAGCTCATGAATTAATTCAGCAGCAAGATGAGAGGTTCTCCAGCACAGCAGAAATCATTACGCTAGTAATTGACTGTGACCACAAAACTGGAGGAAGCAGTTTGGGGTGGGAACGGGGGAAGGAAACTTCCTTGCAAGGTATATCTTCTGCTGGATCAGCTGGATGGATCAATGCGCTCCATGGCCTAACAGCACTAAGAGAGGATGGAGTGCAGGAGCCTGCAATTAGGAGCCTGTTGCTATCTATAGAGTGCCAAATCTCAGAGTAGGTACTGGATTACTATCTCTTGAACCACTGTAATCAGAAGTTGTAATTACTCCATTAACTGTGATGTTTTGTATTTTAGGAAACTGGTGGGCTGTCAGTAATTTCGGTGAAATTACAGGAACTATAGCTATAGAAATGGATAAAGGAGCTTACATCCATGCCCTTGATAATGGCTTGTTTACACTTGGAGCACCGCATAAAGGTTTGTTTCAGGAAACTCGGAAAAAAATAGTTTTAGTAATGAAAAGCATGAACATAGCATCACTTTAAGGCAAACTGTTTTACAGCTCAAGGCAGTTATTACATGTAATGCAATAAAGTTGGCTGTAGCGTGACCAAAACCTAATGACTACCAATCAGTTTCACTTACTTAGTTTGTTGCTGTGTTATGTGTATAATAAATTGAACTGCATTGGAAAGGATCACCTGTTAAAGGCTGTACAGCTTACTGAATAAAAAGCAGTATAACTTTTATTAAATTCTATAAAATGCTTCTGGTGTCAACTGAAGAGTGAAACTCAAGGTAGATGAGCATCAAGGATTATTGCTGTATCCTCATTGTGCTGTATTTGTATTGTTGCTGTGCAAGTGGACTACTAAGGTGGTGGAGATAATCAGCTTGTCTCTTAATTTGAAGCTCGGAACCATCAGTCAGAAAAGAACTGTTCCAAAACACTGACAGTGTGCCTCATCTCCAGAGCGAGATAAAAACAATGATGACAGTATTATCTCACTTAGGTTTTGAGAGATGGAGAGTAGTAGCTTTTTGGATAAGAAGTTAGGTTACCACAGCTGAACCATAGTATGTTTTGGTATGGAGAAAATAATGTTATAAGGAGATCACGTTTTCTGTGTTGTTTGGTTTTGTTTTTTTTGACACGAGGATTGCATTTGTATTATTTAAAGCACGCCAAATACATGAATGCAAATAAGCTCCTGCATTGCTTTTTATTTTAAGAGTGTGAATGTTCAAAAGGAATTTCTAAAGAAATGCAGTATTGTAGCTTTCCATAGTATTTAGCAAAAGCTGTTGCATAATTTTTCAGCTTGTTTGAAACTGCAGTATTAACAATTTAAATACTGTATGCATGATACTTAATGTCTAACTAATGAAAATTTCATTCCTAAGGTGATGAAGGCCCTAGTCCTCCTGAACAGTTTACAGCAGTGAAGTTGTCTGATACAAGGTAACTACTGTAACAAAATATTTCAAGTCTTAATATTTGTTTTTTTGTTTGTTTCTGGTATGAACAAGTTTTAATTTTCTCTTGGGGAAAAAAATTGCATACAAAAAAAAATATGCTTGTGATGTGTTGAATATTGTGAATGGCTTTCTCTAAAAACATTCCTCATTGTTTCACTTCGTTTTCCCTTTGAGAATTGCTCTGAAGTCTGGTTATGGCAAATACCTCGGTATAAATTCAGATGGACTTGTTGTCGGACGTTCAGATGCTATAGGATCAAGAGAGCAATGGGAACCTGTCTTTCAAGATGTAAGTTGCTTCAGACAACTTTCTTGAGATTCCCAACATGTAACTGTATTTTGACTTGCAGCCGATATTGACAGGTAATAAGATGTTTACTGTTGGTTGCCCTTTCGCAATCTCTTCCATATTGTAACTTCTAGTGTTCTGTTTTCCCGCCTACAATGTATTTACTGTATTTCTTAAGTTTTTAAAGTACCTGAAGTTAGTGCAGTTTAACATACAAATTAAGAACAAAGGAGTCCACTAGCTAGCTGTTGAAGTGTCTATATGTCAAAGAACAGGACACGTTTACAGAGCTTTCTGAGGAATGAAGTAAATGTTATGAATCAAGGTTTATATACAAACTCCTTATGCTAATCATGTGATACTGTTTTCTGCAGAAGAAGATGGCATTGCTAGCAGCAAACAGCCGTTTTATTAGATGTAATGAAGAGGGAGATATAGAAGCCAAAAGCAAAACAGCAGGGGAAGAAGAAATGATAAAGGTAATCCGTTTTCTACAGTTAAGTATCTGTATGGTACAGTTACTCTATGGTTACAAGATACTTTCCTGTTTACTGTATTTGTTTCACTAAAGAAATGGTGGGTAAGACCTTTTGTGTGGTACTGCAGATAGTTCTCAACAGCTCATCTCTCAACAAGAGAGATGAAATCTGACAGAACCAGGGACAAAAAAAGGTTAGCCAGAATGATGCAGGTGTGGAGACCTCTTATGTAAGAGGATGTGGAAGGACCATCTTGTCTTTCATGTCCAACAGAAAGCATGCCCTCCAAACAGGGAAGCATGTACTAGTCAGAGCAGTAATACTCTGGAGTCAGTTTTTCTACAAGGTGTTTTAGCCCTGCTTACTCTATAAACTGTAGTGGTGCTTCTTTGAGATGAAAGCAGCTGTGCCTTAAAGTAGTATTAAGGACTATGTTTAATACTTCATATTTCAGGCAGCTTTTGCTGTTACTGCTATTTCCTCTGGTTGTGAATTAACCATTTTCAAAGGTGATAACAGAATGACAGTCACAGATTTTTTTTAAGTTATGCAGGATATATTATCTTCTTTAACCTGCAACTTCTGGTTTTTTTTCTTCTCAATGACTAGATTCGAACTTGTGCTGAAAGAGAAACTAAGAAGAAGGATGACATCCCACAAGAAGATAAAGGAAATGTTAAACAGTGTGAAATCAATTATGTGTATGTAGTTGAGAGCCTTTAACAGTTTTAAGTACCTTTTTTCCTCTTTTCTTTGGGGTTTTCTTTGGAAGGCTAAACTCCCACACAGTTCTTCGTTCACTTTCTCTTCCTCCTCACCGGGATAAGGACACAAAATAAACTGAGAAGGCTTACAGTCAAAATCAAGACAGGGAGCTTGCTTATCAGTTACTGTTGCAGTTAAAACAGACTCAACTTGTAG